ACTGAAGATACTCGTGTTGAATTGAAAAAAAGAGATCAAACATTAAATAATGCTCATCAAAAATTAATTGAATCTGAAGCAATGTTAAAATCACTTCTTAAACGTCTTGAAGATGTTGTTGATAATTTTAAAGGAACTGATGACATTAAATTATTTGAACAAAAAGAAATGTTTTATGTAGATGGTTTAAATGATGTTACTAGTACCTTAACACAATTAAAAAGTCAAAAAGATAATTTGGATAAAGATTTAAAAAGTGTTATGAATAATCTTGTTATCGCTTATTCTTCTTTAATTCAAAATAGTTCTATGAAACATGCAGTCATCTTTTCAAGATATACTACTAAAGTAAAACAATTAAATTTGAAATAATTTCATCATTTTTATTATTGTTTGTTGATTATTTTATTATAATTAAATAATTTTCTTATCATTGTTTTAAGTAATAATAAAATAATATTACTCTTATTTATTTTTGTATTTAAATAAAGACAATAATAATTATTAAATATATTAACAATTGAATAATACAAATATAATAAATGGTTATTTTAATAATGAATTTACTATGGATTAAACTTATTATATTATTCATTTTTAATTTATTAATGTTATGATATTTATATATTAATATCTTCTAATAATTTACTGTATTAAATATTAAATATTCTATTAACTTTATTATTGATTATTTAAATCATTATATAACATCAATATCATTATTGTACATCAATTTTATTATATTTCATTATTATTTATATATTCATTATTTAAATAATGTATTTGGTTTGGTATTGTTGTTTCTTTATATTAATATTTATTATTAATAATAATACTATAAATTAATAAATATTTTGATGAAATGATAAAAAATCTTTGTTATTGATTATACTGTGTCATGATAACATTATTAAACACCGTCTTCATTTCAATTAATACATACTTCCATAATAAATATATTTTATATAATTATTTTTATTAATAGACAAGTTTTATGTTATTAAAAAGAGAAATAATAAAAATCAATCAATTAGAAGAAGAATAAAGTGATAGTACATGAAAAAATAACAAATATAATTGACGAATGATCAAGATTGTTATGTTCATTAATCTTATCATCTGTTTTATTTTCTGAATATCAGAACTATTTGTTGTTTTATTTTCTTTTTGATCTTTCTTTTCATGTATTAGTTTCTCTTTACCTTTCTTTTCTTCTTTACTCTTGTCTTGGTTCGTTTCTCCTTTCTGGTTTCCTTTATCACTGATCTGACTTTTATCCTTGTCATGTTCCTGAGTTCCATCATTCTCACCTTTTGTTTTCTTTGACTCTTCATATTAGTAGCCTTTTTTCATATAGCGTTTCTCCTTTCTTTTTTGATTTATACTTTTACCTTTCGGTCTTTCTCCTTCCCCACTTTCGGCATGACTATTTAGTTCTTTTTTTTTTCTTTTCTTTTCCATCTTTATTTAATCCTGTTCTTGATACTTCTTTTTTTTTGAAGGATTTTTTGTTCTCTATCACTTTATTCTTCAACTTTTTTTTTTCATTCTATTCTGGCATGTTTTTGCCATCTTTCCTCCACTTGTTGCCTATTCTCTCCAATCTTTTCTTGACTCTTTTGTCCTATTCCAACATCTTCAGTTCTATTTTCTGCCGATTCACTTTGCTCTTGTTTCTCTTCTTCAGTTTTACTATGTTCATTATTGAGTTTTGTTTCTGTTGGTATCGATACTTCGTTAGTCCATTCCCTTCTTTTATATCTTTAGTTTCAACAACTTCACATTTTAAATGTGTATTATATTTATTGTGTATTATTTCATGTTTATTTGATTATATTTATGTGTATTACTTTTTTTATTTCTTCTTTATTTTTAATATTCTCTGTTATATTTTTAATTATAATAATTAATATAAATCTAATCATTGTTTGTTTGTACTTCAATTCTTCTCTTTAATTATATTCATTTCTATGACTATTATTTAATTTCATTTTCATTTATAATGATTCAACCATTTCATTATTCATTTTATTTCATCATTATATTATTGTATTTTGTAATTCAATAATAAATAGAATGAAATGAAATATCAAATAAAATTCATTTTTATAATTCAATTAAAATAATAAACATAATAAATAAATCAAATCATTATTATTCTAATAATATATTTATTATTATTTATGTTATTCTATATCATCAACAATTTGATAATTACCATTAACACATTTCTTATTTTGATTTTATTATATAAATGATTTAATTGAATAAAACAGTAGTATAACTAAATGAAATTATTATAAATAAATAAATATTTGATAAATATTAGAATTTATCATTATGAATATATTAATTATCATTTTATTACTATAATCAAATACATCAGTTTCTATTGTCATTATTTGGTTTTATATTTCAATTTAATGACGATAATATATATATATATAAAGTGATACTGATTATAA